ACAAAGAATTCAAGCAGTTTACTGAAAAAGTTGCAGAAGCGGTGAGAAGGTGTTCATTGAAATTGCCAATTTTTACTTCAATAAATTTTAATGATTTTTTTCTTTAGAGCGAAGGACGTGTTGATGTCGATATTCCATTCCGTGAAATTTGTTTTCAGGGCGTTCCTTTCAGAACTAATGTCTTGTTACAACCTACAACAGAGTGTCTTGTTCATCTTACGGATCTTCCATTTTTGGTAGTACCAACTAACCGACACCGAAATCGCACATCTGGAACGCGTTCAGGTTGTTAATACTAATATATGAAATTGTCAAATTAAGAATCAATGTAACGATTCGTTCTAATAAGGATCGTTAATAGTATGTTCCTTTCCACCCGAACCCATGAATAGAGACTGTGGATCGGAAGCCTTAAATTTTTTTGAAGCCGTCGAAGAACCCTTTAACAGCCCTGCTTACGACGTTTTTTCGAATTTATTTCGAAATCTTATGTTTTCACCTGGTTACAGGCATGCACTTTAAGGTTATTATTATTATTATATAACTTTTTATACCTTTCTTTTGCCTATGATTAATAATACTAATTAGAGTTTAGAGTCGGTTTTATTTTTTATATGTTAAAACCGGTTTTAACATATAAGAAATAAAACTGATTCTAAAATCTAATACTAGTTGTAAAATAAAGTTTTGTAAAAGAAAATTTCGATTGTTATTCCTCTTTTTTTTTTATTTATTTCTAATTTTTTTAAAAATTTTTATTTTTCTGTCTTGAGCCTTGATGTAAATCGGCTCTTGGAGAGGAATTGAAGAACTTCACTTTTTATTTAGAATTAGAATTTGAGTTTGGATTAAGTTAAATTTTAAAAATTTTTTATTTCGTGACTTTCTTCTTCGTACTTTCGTTATATTCTTTTTAAAATTTTTTTTTACTATGAGGCATAATTGATTTTTATATATATAGTAATTTATTTATAAACGATCTCTAACATCTTTCATTTCATTTATTTCGATGTGAGCATCTAGGGTTTCCTGAAAATCTTTTGATATTCTACAATGTTTCTCCGGTTCTTTTTCGACACTTACGACTAGAGTTCTCGAGGTAGAACTGTCCATGTTACACGGAGGATCAATTAATAAAAACATTTTTTTTATACGTTTTACAAAACTTTTTGGAAGTTCGGATACTTTAACTTCTTGGTAAAGGGGATAAAGTGCACTAAGTAAACTTGAAGTTTTCTCTCTGCCTGACAACATATTTGCTGAATTCTTCTAAATTCACCAACTTTTTATATTGTGACTTTTTTACTAAAGTTATAAAAAATGTAAGAAACTTTAAGTCGCTACCTTGCCAAATTTCGTTTGTTGTGCAAAAAAAAAGCAAAAAAAGGTAGAATAACGATTTAGCACAACAAAGAATATTAATTTATATAATATATATTATACAAAAGTCATACATATAATAAATGTATAGCTAATTAATTTTAAAATTTTGTTATTTATGTTATAAAAACAAGTGAGGCGCTTGCCTATGCGCTGGGAGTTTTTGTTCCAGTCGATACGGCCAATCGGATTTTTGGGATCAGTGTGATTTCGTGTTGGTAGCAGAGGTCAGAACCGGTTAATAAAATTTGGGTTAAACATTTATTTGTCTTTCGGTGATCAACGTCACCATACATCACATGCCTAGTAATGTGCCATTTATATGTTAACCAAAATTTTTTTTTGCATACAGTCCGTACAATGCGTATTTAGCGATCTGAGAAAAAGTTAATTTTTCTATAACCTCATACGAAAAAAGAACAATGCTCGCACTTGCCCTAACTCTAAACATGAAAAATGGTTTACTTATAAAGGATTGGGTTTCCTCTTTCATTTGGCATGAAGATGTGACGAATCATTTGTGTGACGAGCAAGCATTAGCTAAATAATTAACTAATATTTATTAGTCACGCCTAATAATTCGTCACTTCCCTGTGCTAAACAGATAATGGACTTGTAAAAATTAATTTTACGAACCTATGTTAACCACACACTATCAAAATTTTACTAAATCTTTGGTGTATAGTACCTACAGTTAGGAATGAACTACTGCGCAGTTTGCGGCATTATGCAACCCGATCAGAATTATACTAGCTAGCCACAATTATGCTAACTAACCTGAATTCTAAAAGTCACACTGCGCAGTCGTTCAAAAATTCTGCCACGTACAGTACATTGTGTAGTGTATGTATAACACATCACTACAGATGCGCAATAGTGCAACGACCTATATATTTACTAGATGCAATACCAATACTCTAAGTCTTCTGTTCCTGGTTTCGCGTGACAACATTGCGCAGCTATCTTATTATTATTTGTAAACGAATAAGGTGAATAATGACGAAAGTTTGAACAAATTATTTTTCATATTCGGTTTATTCATGCAAATCGATATTATATAAGTTATAACTTAGATATTAATTTTTATCTCGTTTTATTACAGTTGTGCTACCTAATATATTTTTTTTTTAAACGACCCTTAGTCGACAAGCGAAAAAATTTTGAGCGCAATCTGAGCATGCGCATCGCCTCGAAAAATGCTGTTCATATGCAATCGCAAGCGCTTAATTAGTGCTAAAAAAACTAGCGCTAAAGATATAGAGTACCTTTACAAACGTTTGAAATTTGTGAAACTCAAAAATACTAAAAAAAGCAGATTTTAAAGAAAATCAATTACTAAAAATATAAAATAATACCGAAAATTTGAATAGAAATTTACCCAAACAGAGTAATTCAGAGTAACACTAAACGCTAACGTTTACTTTTAAGCGTTAATTAATTAATTTACAGTAAAAAACCGGTAAAAAAATGTTGGGGAAAAGACTTTGCCTAATCCTAGCTATAGCTAACCTTAATCTTAACAATAAAAAGGTTTCTACGTAATAATAGCGATGGTTACATTGGTTTTGTATAACCACTTCCGCTTTAGACGTTACCTGATTAGTCAATCAATGTAAATCCGTGAAAACTTCTCATTAACTTTTTTCATGGATTTATGGAATTGGAAGCGTTTTGTATGAAATTACTACGTATTGCTTGTGCATAACTTGCGGGAGGATCTATATTTGAAGGGTATATCCAATAGATACATTATATAGGAACATAATAAAGCTTCGTTCGGACTAAATTCTATCGCTATTAATTATATAAATCGAGAAATTTGTTTGATGCATTATCATAAACCTACTACATATTTGGGTGTTCGTTGTCACCCAGTTACCTTAAATGACATTAATGTTTGTGAGGGTGGCTTATATTTACTATAAAAATAAGAAATAAGGTTCAGCCAGGATGGTCATGGAAATAATTTCGATTTCGTGATTCTCTCTTACGATCATTAATACATATCAATATGATACTTCATTTCTTATGGTTTGCTACATTCTACCAAAGCTCTATATTCATAAAACTGAAAGTAGTCGAAATAAGTATAACAAAGAAGGTATGTACGTATGGGAATGTTTTGGCATTAATTGTATCATTAAGGGTTTTTGTAATTTATATGTTATAATATTAGCACAAGTCTAACTTGATATGGGTAGATATTCATCGTACCAACCTATAAATCTTGATCAATGCATACTAATTCAGGACGAGTGCTATCAACGTAAGGGTATTTTCGGATGTTTTTACCTGTTTATATATTAGTGTATCATTACTATTGTAATCTCAACCAAACTTGGTAAGTTGTCCAACTCTTATATAGAACAGGAGTCATATAAGTTGTTATTGGGAACCCAAACATTGGCCACATCCTACAGGTTTCTCGTTTAAAATGACTAGCAGGGATTCAATGTTCCAGTAAGTTCTTATAGTAATTTTATAATTTTTTTTTTTTCTTGAACTTAATCATGCAATTCCCATGATCTAGTCAGAAATTAGTATAAATCTTATTACATTCTTTTTTTATCTTCCGTTACCTTATTCATCCCTTAATCAAATATTTTCCTCGCCTTATCAATAATTTATTAATATATTAATTCCATCATTTTACGCTTAACCGATTCTTTTTATAAATTGTTTTATATGTCAACTAATTTTGAAATTATGGGTTTTGTTAGTAAAATACTTCGTAAAGTATTCTCAATAAAGCATCAAGATAATACGGAAATGACAGAACGATCAATTACTGTTACCAGTGATGGTGATGATACAAAAAATTATAATAACGATCAAAATAATAGTCTTGTATTAAGAAGGAACAGAACGTCCATAAATACGCCTGACCGAACAAGCACTGGTGCACGTCGGGATTGGCGCAGTGGCTATAAAGAAATTGATGAACTTGTACATGAAATGAGATTGGAATATCCTAATCCCACGCAACATTTAATTTGGGTCCCTTTTAATGAATTTATAAAATGCAAACAGATTGATTGTGGTGGTTTTTCTACTATATATGAAGCGAATTGGATAACTGCTGGACAAACTGTTGCATTGAAATGTTTGAAAGACTCTCAAGATATAAGTATTGATTTTTTGAATGAGGTTTGTATTCATTCCTTTATTCTTTACCATTATTATTATCGTTATTATGATGATACATAATAGTTATGTATTATTTAGATAAAATCGCATTGGGTTTTGTTTTTGCAACCTCAATTTTTGAGATGTTATGGAATCACTCAACAACCAAATACAGGAGAGTTTATGATGGTTACGCAATATGCACCCTTTGGAAATTTATATACATATCTTCAAAAACATAAAAGAATGACTTGGAAGGAAAAGATTCAAATAATTAAGCAAATTACACGTGCTCTTGGAGAAATGCATAAAAGAGATCTTATTCATGGTGATTTACATAGTGGTAATATTATGAACATTGATCGAACACATTTTGTCCTTGGAGATGTTGGACTTTGTGGACCTGCTGGTAGACTTACACGTAACAAAGAAGTCTATGGCGTTATTCCTTATGTTGCACCAGAACTTTTCAAAGGTCACAATTACTCTAAACAATCCGATATATATAGTTTTGGTATAATAATGTGGGAAATTTGTTCGGGTACAAGGCCATATGATAACATACCCCATGATTTAGATTTAGTTAAAGATATATGCAGGGGAAAAAGACCGCCAATTCCTTTTGGTACTCCATCATTCTATTCAGAACTTATGATATCTTGCTGGGATGATAATCCTTTAAATCGTCCAGATGCTGCAGAAATTTCAAAAACCATTTATCATTGGCTAGTAGACGATTCACTTGATCAGTGCATGCGAAGAAATAGCTATAAATCGCGTTTCGGGAAGTTTCATAACAAAAAAGTGACTCATCCGGGTGCAGTGTATCACAGTCGATTATTAGATTTTAAAGAAATAAAAGAAATGCGGTTTCGACAGTATCTCTCATTAAATCTTCCGCGTTCAATTTATGAACAAGGTAAGATGATTCAATATTTATCTTTTAATAACATAGAACCCCATTTTTTTTGAAATTTAAATTATATGTATTTATAGATACTATGGAAGAATTATTACTATCACAGAGCGATACAGATAATCAATCACAGCCTTCGCAAGATATAACAAACAACTTGCAGCCTTCACGAGATGATCACAATCATTTACCAATTTCACGAAATACTTATAACTTTACATCAAATACACGAAATTCATATACAACAAAATATTCAAGATCAAAAGAAACTTATAAAATCTCATCACCAACTAGAGATATTTATAGTTTCTTACCACCAACATGTAAGTTATCAATTTAAAATTATAATCTATGGGATACTATTTGTTGAACTGACATATATTCTCAAAAATAGCTAAGCAACATCATGGATCCACTACTACATCAAAATCACTTGAAACTGAACACTCAGGTAAAATTATATGACATATTTTCAATGAGGTTTAATTTTAATTGAAGTGATGACTTTGATAACGATTATATATACATTTATTGTTTAGTAACAAATCCGATTAATAATCAATTTAACACTGAAGGTGAACGTCGTTATTAATTTATTATCTTGGATATTGCGCATTTTATTAATATTATTTTATTAATATTATACTTTGTAACCATTTTAAATATCTATTAGGTCGCCCAAACGCAATGAGTGTGTTCATACCGGAAGATGGTAAGAGATCACATACGTTTATATGCATGTTAATAATATATATCGATCTTCTACTAAACTCTTATAAATATTTAGACATCCAAACATTACAAACATTTTGGGCACTTGAAGGAACTAATTCAAGTAGGGCAAATCTTTCAACAATATGGTCCACTTCAAACTAATTCAATAATTTTTTAATACTTGTTCCGCATTCTATACATAAGTCTTTCATTTAATATAACATAATAGTTTACTTTTTTTTTATTCTATTATTTCATTAAAACACATGCATGTAATATTTTGTATATATCTTTTGGGAATGCGGGTTTCTTTATATTTACTTATATATCCATATAGATTCATTGATAGTGTATATATCATTCTTTATTTTTAGGCATACATTACGTAGATGTCACTTACCATTCTTGACCTTACTATTAATATCTTTTATTGATTTTGATACGATTTAAGTCACAAATTAGATCTTTGTTATTTGTTGTATTATTAGGAAAAAAAAACAAAAAAAAAAAAAAAGAGAGAGAGAAAATAGCAATAATAATCGAACCTGCTTTATCTATTATATTTTATTTTGAATTTCAAATTTATGTAAATAAGTTGAATGTATGCATTAATTTTTTAAATAATGCAATTGTTGCGGTTATCGTCGACGAGCATATGAAACATGCTCGGTATTATATAACAAAAGATATAACTATCTAGGTGCCTCTCCTAAAAGCACTTAATACATTTTTTAAAACCAACAGTATATTGACTGCTGTTAATTGAAAATAGGTCAATATTTTTTAAAAAAAATAACTTTACAACTCATATTTCGATGAATTTAAAAGAAAACTTTGAACTTAAAATTCATCTATATCTTTTTAAAAAAATCAAAAGATAAAATCATTCCCAACGAATTTATTTATCGAACATTTTCTATGCCACATATGATAAAAAAATTTTTTTATTTCGATTTTTAAAAAGACGGTTTGGCATTACGTTAGGGTGTTCAAAATACTAATCAAACATTAATTAGGGTTGCATCCGAATTTACTGCGGATAATATCCTGCATTACAATCACAGAGGGCAACCATAGAATGAGTGTACAACTAGGCACTCATATAACTTTAGTTATTGTCTAATTTAAGTATTCTGCTTGAAGGTTTTACACTAGCTGTTATACTTGGAACCTGCTTGTAAGTTTTCTATTTAAACACTCTAGTTCTCATATTCACTTGTCTACTTACATCTATTAACAACCCTGATCAATATTAGTAAAAATATGTTATGATTACTAAGTCTTTAAAGCAGTTTTTCACACAAAGAACTTTTGACCTTGTATTAAATCTTTTAGAATCTTCTATATCTTATTCTTACAGTTGATTTAGTAATGTTATAGTTGAAATCAACACTTGTAATTACAGTGTATTATTAAACCATTATGTCTTTATAAAGTTCATCTCAACCTTAGTATTTACTTTATAATATATTTCTAGTATTTTGATATTTAATTCAAGTTCTATCAAGTTCTTAGTTCAGATAATTTAAAAAAATAAATATAATCATACTTCTGGTTTATATATTTTCTAATATATAACCTTTTTTTTTTTATTCTTTTTAGAGTTCTAATAGCATGATTAATTACAATGATTTTTTTTAAAAAACCAGTATATTATCTGGTTTTACAAGTTCTAACTCCATTTCTATAAGTTTAATTTTTACAATAATATTATCAAAAGTTCAGATTATTTCTTTATTTAGATCTTTTAAATAGGTTTCTATTTTCTTAATATTTATAATTTATACAATTACAAGAACTTATTATAGGTTCACATTATTTGGTACCAGTTTTGTATTTCTTTATATAAGATATAACTATTATATGAATGTTATATAACCTTCTAGTCATACTAATATAACACAAATAACAAGTATTTAATTTTAATTAATACTAGAAGACAGTTAATTATAATACAAAAAGAATTTCAAATTTTTATTAATACTAGGATTTAAACTTTAAACTTATTACTTGGAGATTGACAACATAATCATTTTACTATATTATTATATTTTTAACTATTATAATTAGTAAGAAGTTTTAAATCTTATTACTTATATTAAATTTTTTTTTATTATTAAAATAATTTTTTTAGTCTTTTGATTTTTATTAATAACTTTTTTGTTAATATGATTTTTGTAAATTACTATAGAAAGAGTATACAACTAGTTATATATAAAATTTCTTAAAGAAAATGATGATCATAGTATAGTGGTTGAGTTGTTATTCTCCAAGTAACAGGTCTAGTATTCAAATCTCGCCTATAATGAAATTTAAAAAATTATATCTGTATTACAGCAAACTGTCTCTTGATGATTGGTTGGATTAATGTATCTGTAATCTTAAGTCACACCATCTTGAATGAGAGCTTAGGACATTTATATGAAGTGTAATATTATATATATATAGAAAAATATATAACTGATGTCACATAAGGTTTTGGTGTAAACCCATAATAAGACTACTAGGCACAGTAAATTAAGAAACTGAAAAGTCAAAAGCCTACTTGAAAATTCTAGAATAAAAAGGTAGTATAAACTTTTAACAGTATGGTAAGAATGATAAAAGCTCATAAAACATCTCAAAAGTGAATAGACAGATAAACTGAATGACAAGATGTGTAGAGAAGCATATGACCAATCAGGTCACCATAATCATCTGAGGAAAAAGAATACATAAGTATATCATATCATGCTATCTAAATTGGAAGTCAGAGAAGTTCTATTGGTTCTGAGTACCAGTTAGTAGAAGATGATAAAGAAGATATTGTGATAATAGGTACTGGAGTTCTAGTGAACTTTACAAAAATAGAAATAGTGTAATATAGCAGTTAAACAGTTAACTCCTATGACTGCAAGTATTAGACAACTATAATAAGTTATATAAAACTAAATCAACTATATGTAAGACATAAAAAGTTCTAGTAAGTTTCCTATTAAAGATAAACTAGTTTTAAGAAGCCTCGAAGGCATTGAGTACTTTGAATAGGTGTAGCCTTGAAGATGTTACCATGAGACATGATGAACTGCATATGCAGAGAGTTTAAATAGACAAGACCCATAGTTAACTTACAGGTATAAGCACCTATTATAGAATCTGTATAGTAATGTATAGGTGGACTACTTAAATTAGGCATTAAAAATGCATATGTGGCTAGTTGTAATCTTTAATATAAAGAAGTCCTTAAAGGCACTTGTGTTCAAATACATGAATAAAAACATCGATCTCTATAGATAGGAACTTTAAAAAAAAATAAAAAAAATAAAAAAATAAAATAAAGTTTCTTAAATTCAAATTAAATAAAATATTAAATTAATTTAAATTTAATTAAATTAAATATACTTTTGATTTGATTTAATTTGATCAAATATTTGAATCCAATATTTGAATTTGATTTGATTTTCAAAAAAATTTAAAATTTTAATTAACAAATAAAAAACTTGATTTATAAAAAATTTATTATATTAATCAATTTTGAGTTTTTAATTAAAAACATTCTTTTAAACAAAATATTACTAGTTTTATAAAACAAAAAGTCAATTATCTTAATAAAATTTTGAATAAATAATTTATAATTTTGAATATTCAATTATAAATTTTCAAATTAAATTAAATATTTATTAAATCAAATCAAATTTAATTATATTTAAATTTGATTTGATTTAAAAATTTCAAATTTAAATTTTTTTTTTTTTTTTTTACACCTTAAGCAGTTACGCTAGTACTTTATTAAGATTCTTGAAACTAAATACATCTATAATTACATAGAATTTTCCAATACTTAAGTCTAGCATCACTCAGCCACCCTATTGGCACCTAAATACAACCTGCCACACTATCTTAGTTAAAGATAGACTGCTCATCTAACTACTTAAAGCCATACCAGAAAGGTCTTCCCCCTTCTGTGACAAGTATATCAATTGACTTCCAAGCTTCTTTCTTTATTTGATTTATTTTTTTTACTTTCTTTTCCTTTTCTTCCTCCTTTGTTATCTTATTTTTCTTTGTTTTCTTTTCCGATCTTCTTTTGGTTCAAGCACCTTTTTTCGTTTTGTCTATTATATTGATCTTCTTTTTCTATTCTTGTACTTTTCCACATCAAACTTTCTATACTTGGTCATAGAATGTATTCCATACTGTTCTTGTCACTATGTCTATGCATTTCTTTGTTGCCTGTCTGCCTAGAATTTGACTGATTCTTTTTCTGACTTCACTTGTTATTAATCCTTTTATCAAAGCTGTTCTGTTTGTGATTTCTTTTGCTTTTTTTTTTTCTTTTAAACTATTCCAAGCTGCTGCTATTGCTATCTTTTGGATTCTTTTCCACAAGCTTCTTTGTTCAATACAGCTTGCTAAGTGTGCTTGAGTTTCCTTTTCACCTTTTTGGCATACTTGGCAATCAGTCATTATATATATTTCTGGTCTTCTTCTATTTTGTTCTTCTAGTGTTGGTAGGCTATCCATCATATATTTGATCACTGTTGCTCTTCTTGTACTGAGTTTTCTTATTATACAATATACACCCTTTGTTCTATTTATCTCTTTCCAAAAGCTTGACCAATTGTATTGAGTATTCTTAGTTTCTGGCTCTAGTGCTTAGATTGGATTTGTTTCTCTCCAACTAGCTCCAATTCTGGCATTCATAACTATTTTATATAGAAGTCTTGCTAGTATGTTAACTTTTCTATTTTTCCATTCTAAATGGTACTCTATTGTGTCACACTTGATCTTCTCTGTAACTATTGTCCTTTCACATGTTGCTTCTTTTTTTGTAAGTAAATCTGCTCTATCATTCCACTTGTTATTATTATGACTTTTAACCTTAACTAATTCTATTCTATTGTTCTTGCTTTTGAGTAAACTAACAATATTTATTATTCATATTGCATATTTCTTTTTCAAAACTCTGTTATCTTCTATCTCTTGAATTGCTCTGTTAATATGCCTTAATGCTGCAAGGCTATCTGTATGCACCTCTATATGCTTTCCTTCTGATATGATTAGAATTGCTAACTATATTGCTGCTAATTCTGCCATTGTTGCTGAAGACCAACCTTCGAGTTTCAGTGTTATTTCTTCTTC